GGTGGGCACCTTGGCCCTGGGCGGTGCCACTGTCCCCTCGTTTAGGCCGGTGGGCACCTTGGCCCTGGGTGGTGTCACTGTCCCGTCATTTAGGCTGGTGGGCACCTTGGCCCTGGGCGGTGCCGCTATCCCCTCAGACCCAGGCTTCTAGGGCAGGCTGGCTGTGGGCTTGGGAGGGGCAGTGCCTGCCTAATGGCCCTCATCCCTTCTCCCCAGCGCTGGCCCTGCGCTGCTATGTCTGTCCGGAGCCCACAGGAGCATCTGACTGCGTCACCATCGCCAACTGCACCACCAACGAAACCATGTGCAAGACCACACTCTACTCCCGGGAGATAGGTCAGTGGGCCGGGAGCGGGCACAGCTGGGTTCCAGCTCAGAGCCACCCCCTGCCCAGTGGCCACCAGCCAAGCTGGCCCCAGTGCACAGCCACTACCTCACCCATCTGCAAAAAAGGGCTTTCTGATGGGCAAGGCCCCCCCCGCCCTCCCCTTCCTTCCTCTCTCCCTCTGCTCCTTCAGCGGGCACGAATCTGCAGCCTCGTTTTGGAATGGCTGGGAAGGTGGGCGCACTGACAGGCTTTGGTTTCACGGTCACATCAGGGTGGGAACTGCCCCATCCAGCAGGGTGCAGAATGCCAGCTGTGTGCCTGGCACATGGTAGGCACCCGGCCAACATCGGTTGGGGGAAAGAGAAAGAGGAGAGCACCCAGCCAGGAGGGAGGGAGACCCAGAGGGGTAACCCCAGAGTGAGTGCTGCACGAGGCAGCGCCGGCAGGGACCAGGGCTGGGAGGCAGCAAGGACCAGCCCTGACGGCGGACTCTGCACACACCCCACAGTGTACCCCTTCCAGGGGGACTCCACGGTGACCAAGTCCTGCGCCAGCAAGTGTGAGCCCTCGGATGTGGATGGCATCGGCCAGACCCGGCCCGTGTCCTGCTGCAACACTGAGCTGTGCAATGTGGATGGGGTGCCCACACTGGGCCGCCCCCACTGGCTGGCCGGGGCCCTCACGCTGCTCCTGCTCCTGAGCCTTGGACTCTGAGCGCCCGCCCACCCCCACGGCCCCCCCCAGCTGGCCTGTGCCACCTGCCCCGAATGCCTTGAAGAAGTGCAGCTTGCACCAGGACTCCTGAGTCTCCTTTCTGGGCACCGACCCACCTTCCAGGGCATAGAGAGGAGCTCCCAGCTGCGTCTCCGACCCCATCTGTGTCCCCGTCCCTGTCTGTCTCTCTTCCTGCCTTCCTGTGATGTTAAGCTCTATCCCATTGCAAGAACAGCCATTAGGCCTGGGACCCCCACACAAACCATGCAGATCTCTGCCTTTCAGCTCTCTAGGGATGTGGGGGCCTGACCAGGGTGGGGCAGGAGCTGAGACCCGTGGGCAGGGGAGCACCACATCTACCAGGGTGCAGTCAGGGCCAGCTCCCTGGAGGAGGGGGCATTAGGGCCAGGCCTTGAATGATGGAGAGATCTGGCAGGCCTTGAGGAGGGCAAGGCATGTCAGGTGGAAGGAAGGTCACGGTAGTGACCAGGAGCCGGGGTTGTCCCCTGGAGCACCCCACTGCCCACCTCCCTAGCCTGAGCAGGGCCTTGCCATAAGGCTGATGCTGGAGGCCACTTTGAGGAGGCCGCCACTGGTCAGATCCCAGTGAGTTCGTTGCCTGCCTCCCAGGCTCACCCCACATGTCCACCTCACACCCTGCCCTCACTCAGCTCTGCTCCCAAGGGTCAGTGGCCAGGACAGCCACAAGTTCTGGTGCAGAAGGGGCCTTCATTTCACCTTGGCCCTGAGCCAATGCCCCAGTCCGCCAGGCCGGCTCTCCAGGGAGTCCTCTGCCCCACAGGCCTCCAGGCAGAGACTCCCCATGATCACAGGCAGGGACACGCATGCACGTGGTCCTAGAAACACACAAGGAACTCAAGGACTTGGGGAAGGACAAGACCCACTGGCCTCCCGCCTAGTGCCGGCCCCTCCCCAGGGCTGCCCAGGAGGTGGCGGCAAGAGGTGGGCCCCGTCCTGGCCAGAAGAGGAGAATGTTCACCCTGGAACCTGCCCTTCCCCTTGGACCCTGCAGACCCCCCGCTCAGCCCGCCCACCTCACCCTCCCTGCTCCAACAGTGCTTCTGGGCCCATGGGTGTCAACTCCTGGGGCAAGACCTGTAGCCCACAGCGGGTTCTGTGGTTCAGGGTCTACTCCTGGGGCCGGGCCCCCACCACCCAGTGCGCCCCACCAGCCGGAGCACAGCTCAGCACAGCACAGCACCATCTGTCAGACATGTCTTGGTGCTAAAAAGACCGCAGCCTCCTGGGGAGGGAGGGCCTGGGAGGCTGGGAACATTCTAGAGCTGTGACCCTGAGCTCTGATTTTTGTCAGGAGGGAGATGCGCTCTTAGCCATCAAACACCTCACACCTCTCACCTGTGTTTTCTCAAGAATCTCACAGTGGCCTCAAAGTCTGGGCTAAGACTACACACACACACACACACACACCCCCCACAAACACACATGCATTCCACAACCCCCACCGAGACTGAGAACAAGGCCTATCTGTGATCAGAGATCAGGGCTCAGCCTGAAGTCAGGATCGGGCTCAGTCTGGTCAGTGATCAGGGCTCAGTCTGTAACCAGTGGCAGGCCCTGATCTATGATTGACATCAGGGCTCCGTGTGTGATCCTGTGGCTCAGCCATGGAGTGGGACTCAGCCGAGGACCGAGGATCAGGATTCGGTCTGTAACCAGGGTCCAGGCTCAGTGTGTGGTCAGGAAAAGGCTTCAGTCAATGAGAGGGGAAGGGGCACAGTTCAGGCCAAGCACAGGCTACGAGCCAGGCCCGATCCAAGCCTGAGAACCTTTCACCTTAACCTCACCATCCACGATGCCACCTTTCAGGTACCTGCCCCTGAGATTCCCTATGACCCAAGTCCTTCAACCAGGCTTACTCCTCATCTTGCGAGTGGGGTAGGAGAGGCTTATAATGAGGTGCCAGGACAGGGACCCAGGGTGCCCTCAGAGCAGTGGCCTGGGCAGTTTCACAGCCTGTAGAAATGGGCAGGGCAGGACATGGCTTGACGGGGAAAGGAAGAGCCAGCGGTTCCAGACTTTGGTTAGGAAAGGAACCGGGAACAGGCGGGGGAGGGGAGGGGCTGAACTCAGCATCTGATGGCTCAGACCACCCCCACCCCTGGTGGGCTGATGGAGTGGGCTCTGTTCTTCTCCCAGGACCTGCCAGCTCCAGCACCCTCTGCCCCAGCCCCATCACATCTGCCCTGAAATCGGAGGAATGATGAGACATCTTGCCAGCCATCCTCTTTTTCTCCCCGACTCCTGACCTACCCCAGGCCACCCACTGTGACCTTCCAGGACAGGATGAGCACCTGCTGCACTTCCTCAGGGAGGAGGGCCCAGCCCATGACAGGACAGGGATGTCTGGATCTCAAAGGCAGACAAGAGAGCCAGGACAAGGATGGGGCCTAGAACTAGCCTTCAAGGGGACAAAGCACCCACTGGACCTCAGCCGCCACCTCCCATCTCAGATGGAAGGGAGATGGACAGACGAATGGGTGGGTGGATGGTGGATGGATAGGGGATGGGGGATGATTGGGTGAGTACATGGACGGGTGAGTGGATGGATGTGGGGGGATGGGTGGATGGGGGATGGTGGATGGATGGGTGGGTGGACGGACGGGTGAGTGGATGGATGTGTGGGTAGATGGGTGGATTGATGGGTGGGTGGATGGGTGGATGGATGGGGGATGGGGGATGGATGGGTGGGTAGACGGACAGGTGAGTGGATGGATGGGTGGGTAGATGGGTGGATTGATGGGTGGGTGGATGGGTGGATGGATGGGGGATGGGGGATGGATGGTGGATGGTGGATGAATGGGTGGGTGGACGGACGGGTGAGTGGATGGATGGGTGGGTGGATGGGGGATGGATGGGGGATGGGGGATGATTGGGTGGGTGGAGGGACGGGTGAGTGGATGGATGGGTGGGTGGATGGATGGGGGATGGTGGATGGACGGGTGGGTGGACGGACGGGTGAGTGGATGGATGGGTGGATGGGGGATGGTGGATGGATGGGTGGGTGGACGGACGGGTGAGTGGATGGATGGGTGGATGGGGGATGGTGGATGGATGGATGGGTGGATGGGGGATGGTGGATGGATGGGTGGGTGGACGGACGGGTGAGCAGAGGGATGGGTGGATGGGGGATGGTGGATGGATGGGTTGGTAGACGGACAGGTGAGTGGATGGGTGGGTGGGGGACAAACGGGGAATAGATGCAGGGATGTGTGGGTGGGTAGATGGATGGGGGGATGGATGGATCCCTGACCCCACTGCCAGGACATCTTCCTCTTCCTCACCCCTGTGCCCACTGTCATCACGCCATCTAAGTCACCAGCCAGTGTCCCTGGGTAGCTAGCACAGCCACCTCCAGCTCCTTGCCTCCCCCTCGCCACCCCAGCCCATCGCTAAATCAGCAGCCAGACCTGACAGCTCACTCAGTACCTACCTATGCAAAAAAATTCTTGATCCTCCAAGGATCTTGACTAGCTGTCAGACTCACCTGTGAGGTATGATCGGCTCTGCAGCCTGGACACAGGGTCAGAACTCAGCTGGGGGGGGTTCACACTGGCAAGTCTGAGTTCCTATGGAGGAAGGCCTGAGATAGGTCTGTCCCAGTAGGGCAGGTGCTGCCCTGAGGAGTAAGACTCCCATTCCCAGAGGTGTCAAAACCTGTGCTAAGTTCTGTCAGAGGCTACAAGAGCATTTGTACCCTGGGGAGAGGTCAGCCTCAGTGCCCACAAACATCCATCCTGGGTGACCTTGGAAGAAACATTAATCCTCTATTTACCCATCCACTCATTAGCTCCATCCATCCATCCATCCATCCATCCACCCTTTCATCCCTCCCTCCCTCCCTCCATCCATCCACCCATCCATCCATCCATCCATCCATCCATCCATCCATCCCTCCCTCCCTCCATCCCTCCCTCCATCCATCCATCCTCCAGCAAATGCTGCCCACAGTCAGCATGGCCAGACCCAGGCTATAGGAGGATTCTTAGAGGGATGGAAGCGTGTTCTTCCACTTGAGGAGCTGACAGTCCAGCAGTCCCTCAGGCCAGCCCAGACAGGGGCTTTTTGACTGCATGCTGAAGGCAGTGGAGAGCCAGGGAGTATTTCTGGGAAGAGCAGTGCCATGGGCCAGTTGGCATTTTAGCTGGTCTCTCTGAGTGCAGGGTGGAGAGTGTAGCCAAGGAGGAAGGGCCAGGCCCCTGGGAGAGTGAGCTCACATGGCAGGCAGCTGGAGCTTGGTGTGAACCGGCTCAGTGCTCCAGGTCTACCATGGATGAACTCTGGGGTTTGGGGAATTGAGCTGCCCTCAAAAAACCTGGTCTCCTGGTTCCACATGTGGGGAAAGGTGTGTATTCATGGAGAGGCGGGAGGAGGGAGAGCAGTCGCCTAACCAGGGCATAAATTCTCCCTGCCTGAGTTGTGTCTGACACAGTGCTGCTTTTCCACCTGCCAATTGGGTGCTGGGCTCAGGGACCGGTCAAGCTAGTGCCTACTCTTCCCACACAGCAGAAAGGCTCCTGTGCCCCTGCTACTCCCATGCAGAGCACCCTCTGAGGGCTTCCTTCTCTTTTAAAGCCCATGCAAGCAGCAGCTGAGGGCTGCGTCCCTGGCCTCAGCAACCACCACCTCTGCCCCAAGAACACCTGCACTGTGATGAGCACAGAGCTGAGCTGAAGGCGTGATGGAGACCCATCCTTTGTCAAATACTTGCTAGTTTTCACAACCACCCTCTGGCAGATGTTCTCCTAACCAGTTTATAGATGAAAGAAAGTGGGGTGAGAATGTCCCGTGAGTAGACATGGGCCACACGGGAGGCCAGGAGGAGCTCAGGCTCCAGAACCAGACAGTCTCTGACTCCTCTGGAAACATCTGGGTGCGTCTGTGGACCAAGCCCTGGGGAGGGGCCGCTCTTGGCTGCCACCCTGCACCTCCCCATGTCAGCCCTTTGTTTGATGGCAGTAACTATGCCCTCCCTTGCTTTCTTGCAACCACCCTGCAGCCTCATACAACTCACCCCAGCCCACAAGGCCAGGTCACTTCAGATT